GAAAGAGACATAAAGAAAATATAGGGTAAATGATACAGATTTATTAAAGTTATTTGTTACTTGCTACCTGAGTAATGTTTTATTTGTTCTTTTCCACAAGGTTTTTGTTTACAGATTACAATAGGCTGTCCAGCGTAGGTGGAGAGACTTCACTGGCTGAAATGATTGCGACCCTCTCTGATGCGTGTGAAAGAGAGTTTGGCTTTTTGGCAACCAGACTTTTTCGAGTATTCAAGACTGAAGATACTCAGGGTAGGAGTTCCTTCCTTTTTTTCTTCTTCGGGTGTCATGTTTAAGGGTTGAGGGTGGGATGAATGTTTAGTTTATTTTCATGAAAACACAGCTTGAACATCAGACTCATCAGATGGCATGCCTGTAATGACTAGGATTTTCTAGATATTTGATATGTTAACAGTTGTTAAAACCATTTGTTATATTATAGGTAAAAAGAAATGGAAAAAAACATGTTGCCTCCCATCTTTTGTCATCTTCCTTTTTATCATTGGCTGCGTTATTGCTGGAATTACTCTTCTGACTATATTCAGAGTTGACCCAAAACATCTGACAGTGAATGCTGTCCTCATATCAATCGCATCTGTAGTGGGGTTGGCATTTGTGTTGAACTGTCGTACGTGGTGGCAAGTGCTGGACTCTCTCCTGAATTCTCAAAGAAAACGCCTCCATAATGCTGCCTCCAGACTACACAAATTGAAAAGTGAAGGATTCATGAAAGTAAGCACTCACTGGTTATTAGAAAAAATTGTAATGTGAATATGCCACCACTACCATGCCCGTTTGGGTTTTAGGGCATATACTCTCTAAATGTTAAAAGTGTTGCATTTATTTTAGTTTCGTTAATATGTTAATTAATTCATTCAAGACTATTATTTAAAAGAGATATCCCGTATACCCTCTGCCCCCATCCATGCACAGCCTCCCCCATCAACATCACCCACCAGAGCTGTACCGCTGTTACAGTTGATAAACCTACACATTAAAATCGCCCAAAGCTCATAGTACCTTAGGGTTCAGTCTTAGTGCTGTACATTCTGCGGGTTTGGACAAATGTATAATGACACGTATCCACCATTATAGTATACAGAGTAGTTTCACTGCCCTAAAAATCCTCCGTGCTCTGCCTATTCATCTCCCCTCCCCCAACCCCTGTCAACCACTGATTTTTTTATTATCTCTGTAATTTTGCCTTTTCCAGAATGTCATATGGTTGGAATCATACAGTACATACCCTTTTCAGATTGGCTTCTTTCACATAATAATAAGCATTTGAGTTCCTTCTATGTGTTTTCATGGCTTGATAGCTCATTTCCTTTTAGTAGAGGATAATGTTCCATCGTCTAGATGCACTGCAGTTCTTTTATCCATTCACTTAATGAAGGGCATCTCTCCTGCTTCCAAGTTTTGGCAGTTATGAATAAAGCTGCTGTAAACTTATGTGTGCATGTTTTTGTGTGGTCTTAAGTTTTTAATTCCTTTGGGTAAATAACAAGGAGTGCAATTGCTGGACTATATGTTAAGAGTATGTTTAGTTTTGTTAGAAACCACCAAACTGTCTTCCAAGGTGGCTGTCTCATTTTGCGTTCCCACCAGCAGTGAATGAGGGTTCCTGTTGCTCCACATCCTTGCAGGCATTTGGTGTTACTGGTGTTCCGATTAGGGCCATTGTAATGGGTGTGCACTGGTATCTTATTGTTTGAATTTGCTTTTCCCTGATGACACATGTTGTGGAACATCTTTTCAGGGACAATGAAGAGATGGCTTCTTTGCCATCTGTATATCTTCTTTGGTGAATTGTCTATTGAGATCTTTGGCCTATTTTTTAATCAGGTTGTTTTCTTATTGTTGAGTTTTAAAAGTTCATTTTATATTTTAGCTAACAGTCCTTTATCAGATATGCCTTTTGCAAATATTTCTCCTATTCTTTGAGTCACCATTTCATTCTCTTGACAGTGTCTTTGCAAAGCAGAAACGTTTAATGAAATCTGGCTCATCAATTCTTTCTCTCATGGATTGTACCTTTAGTGTTGTATCTAAAAAGTTAACACCAAACCCAAAGTCATCTACATTTTCTCCTCTGTTATCTTCTAGGTGTTTTATACTTTTGCATTTTACATTTAGGTCTGTGATCCATTTTGAGTTAATTTTTGTGAAATGTGTAAGGTCTGTGTCTAGATTTTTTTTTTTTGCACGTAGATGTACAGTTGTTCCAGCACCATTTGTCAAAAAGACTGTATTTTTTCCATTGTATTGCCTTTGCTCCTTCGTCAAAGATCCTCTGACTGTATTTGTGTGGGTCTGTTTCTGGGTTCTCTGTTCTGTTACATTGATCTATTTGTCTTTTCTTTTGCCAATACCACACTCTCTTGATTACTTTAGCTTTATTGTAAGTCTTCAGGTTGAGTAGTATCAGTCCTCCAACTTTGTTCTTCTTCAATATTGTATTGGCAATTCTGGGTCTTTTGCCCATCAAATAAACTTTTGAATCAGTTTGTTGATAAATTGCTGGGATTTTGATTGGGATTGCATTGAATCTATAGATCAAGTTGAGAAGAATTGGCATCTTGATAATATTGAGTCTTCTTATCCATAAACAATGGAATATCTCCCTATTTATTTAGTTCCTCTTCGAATTTTTTCAAAAGAGTTTTATAGTTTTTCTTATATAGATTTGATACGTATTTTGTTAGATTTATACCTAAGTATTTCATTTTTGGTGTGCTAATGTAAATACTATTACGTTTTTAATTTCAAATTCTACTTGTTCATTGCTGGTGTATAGGAAAGTGACTTGTACGTTAAACTTGTATCCTGCAGTCTTACTATAATTG